GCTTCCTTCCCCTCTGTTGCTCACCAACTGCTTCACGGAGACTTCTCCTAGTCTCCCCTTTGGTCCTTCATCTTCTGAAGGACCCCCAGACTGGGCAGTTCCAGCTTTCTCTGGGGGCTTCTCCAGAAGCAGCTGGCAGCACCGCAACAAGCCCCACCTCTTGGATATGGCAAACACTCTTGATGGAGAAATTGACCAGTAAGATCAGAATATACAGGGGAGCTAAGGTAGATATCATATTTATCCAAGAGACCCATATTAGAGAAAAGGATAAAAAACTGTTAGAAAGTCCAAAATTGGGCAAAGTCTTCATAGCTTCAAGCAAACAAAAGAAAAAAGGAGTGGCTTTGTATATAGAAAAAAGAGCTAGATCCGGAATTGGTGTTTGCCGCTGAGGATGGGAGATTACTGATATTGGAAATCTCTAGGGAAGGAGAAAAATTTTTATTGGCTAACATATACGCACCGAATGAAGCCCAAGGTAAATTTTATCGCCAACTGAAGAATCAATTAATACAAATTTGATTATATATGTATATGTATTCAGTTCACACCGGGAACCCAGCTGGAGAGAACAGAGAGTCAAACGAAGCTGGAGTCTCTGACTCCAAAGGGGGGAGGGTTTAGCTTAGTAGGAGGGTGTTTTTTTGTTGTTGGTGGTGTTTTTGCTGTATGTTTTGTAGCATATTAATTCAATAAAAAAGAATATACAGGGGAGAAATAAAGCACAGTCAATTTTTCAAAACTTAGAAACCTTTATTAAAATATGCAAGTGAACTAAATGAGAAATCACATGATTTAGGAAATAATCTAGATTGCTCAGATGGTTGGTAACTTTCTAGGATGGAATGGGGATTCGAGATTAAGTGTAATTTTGTTAAATGGTGTAACTAGCGGTTGTTTAGAATCTTAAAATCCTTAGTATGCAAGATGAATAGTTAATTGTATTATCTGTTTGTAATGTGATGGATTGTCTAAAATAAAGTTTTGTTAAATTTTAAAAAAATCTATCACAAGCAGAAGAGAATTGGAATTAAATGAATAAACAGCAGAATCCAAAGAACCAGCAGGGATAACAGAGGACAGAGAGGAAGACAATCTCTCTGAAAAAGCCTCTACATCAACAAACTGAAGATCATGAAAGAGGATGGAAATAAAATGCCAGTGAGGTGGGATAGAGATGATAGCAAAGAGCTACTAAGTAAAAGAAAATGGCAAGAAACTGGTGACAGAAAAGATCAAAAATGGACTAATTATGACAGAGAACAATATCAAGACAGTAATCACCAATGTGGAAAATGGATCCAAGACTTTAGAAGAAATGAAGCAGTAAGAGAAATGAAACAAGAGAGCAGCAAAATCAGATGGGTCATTCGCAGGAATAGTAAAATGCTCTAACATCGAAACATGTGAGTAGGAACCCTTATTTTCAGGGTTCTTCCTCAAGTGTAAAGGTTCCATGTGACCAGGACCTTCTTTTCTTCAGATGCATCATGTGGAGAAAGCAGCAATGGAGAGGGGAGAAGCTAAGGGCTCCTCTCTAAACTTGTTGCCAAGAACTTCATAGGTAACGACTGAACAGGGCTTTGCTTTTGCATAAATACGTGTTCAATACGTGGGGGATCTCACTGGCAATTGTGGGAACAGATATTGCTTTATTATGACCATAGGTCAGTCTTTTTAAAATGAAAATAACACGAAGCAATCTTAGGAACTATGTTTAGCAAAGGTAGAGAATGTTCAGTAATTAAGCACGCTACGGTTCTTAAGATTCTTTGGGGTGGTGCAACCAAATGATCCTGAAATTTTGCTTTCCATGAGCTGTGGGTACACTGTACCCATTTTTATTTTTGGCACATAGGACAAATTCCAGGAATCTTACAGTCACCTCTTGGGGATTGCAAAGCAGGAGGTAGGCAGCAGTGCTCTGTTGACAACATGAATAGAATTTTGGTCATCTGTGCATCGGGGCAGGGGGGACAAGGAAAGGAAAGCAAAGGAAAGATCTGCTACAAAAAAAGCAGACAAATTCAGAAATAAGTTATTTGTGGAAATTTTTTAAAAGCTATGTGGCCCTTCTTTATACGTAATCTCCGGGATGATACCTTTATTAGACCACTAGAAAAATCACAAGCAGTGAAGTTTTAGAAGATTTACAGTTCAACTCTTGAGAGGTTTTGCAGGTCACTTCTTGGCTCTTTGAAGCACTTCAGAATGAGTCAAGAGTGCTGCTCAACTCGAAGAAACCAGAAGTGTGGTCACACTTGTCTGACCTATCAGGTGAAAACAGAAGAAAAATAATTATAATAATAGATTGTTTATTAATTGTTTTTGTGGGATTTTTTTTGTATTTTATTTTTCTTGTGTTTTTGCCTGTTATCCTTGCACAGACTAACACAGCTACCTCTTTTAAAACTGCTGTCTGATCTAGTTGCTGCAAAACTCCCAGGTCAATCTTTAGGCAAGGCTTTTGTGATGTATTCTTAGCTTTAACCAGCTCACATCTTGTGACTTTTGCAGCTGACTCAGTGGTTTACTCACTTTATGTTTGTGTGTTGTGATGTGTGAAAATAGATGTGATGCGAGAAAAATGCAGACATTTTCAAACATCCAGTTCTACGTTTTCACAGGAAATAATGTTTCACAGTATGCTTTTCTTCTTTTCTCCTTAGGGATGAAAGTAAAGTAGGAAAACTAGATAACCCCACACACTGCGAACTTCACTGCTGTAAGGATGGACCAGTAAGAAATGGCCATATTGGACTGCGACCACCTTCTATCCATCCTGAAAGACTGAAAGACTTTGGCGAGGAAGATTATCTAAACGGGGGAGTGAAGACTTGGGAAATGAAGTTAACTAGTCCTAATGAAGAACTCTTAAGAGACTCAGTCAGCCACCAGCAATGGAGAGGGGAGAAGCTAAGGGCTCCTCTCTAAACTTGTTGCCAAGAACTTCATAGGTAACGACTGAACAGGGCTTTGCTTTTGCATAAATACGTGTTCAATACGTGGGGGATCTCACTGGCAATTGTGGGAACAGATATTGCTTTATTATGACCATAGGTCAGTCTTTTTAAAATGAAAATAACACGAAGCAATCTTAGGAACTATGTTTAGCAAAGGTAGAGAATGTTCAGTAATTAAGCACGCTACGGTTCTTAAGATTCTTTGGGGTGGTGCAACCAAATAATTCTGAAATTTTGCTTTCCATGAGCTGTGGGTACACTGTACCCATTTTTATTTTTGGCACATAGGGCAAATTCCAGGAATCTTACAGTCACCTCTTGGGGATTGCAAAGCAGGAGGTAGGCAGCAGTGCTCTGTTGACAACATGAATAGAATTTTGGTCATCTGTGCATCGGGGCAGGGGGGACAAGGAAAGGAAAGCAAAGGAAAGATCTGCCACAAAAAAAGCAGACAAATTCAGAAATAAGTTATTTGTGGAAATTTTTTAAAAGCTATGTGGCCCTTCTTTATACATAATCTCCAGGATGATACCTTTATTAGACCACTAGAAAAATCACAAGCAGTGAAGTTTTAGAAGATTTACAGTTCAACTCTTGAGAGGTTTTGCAGGGCACTTCTTGGCTCTTTGAAGCACTTCAGAATGAGTCAAGAGTGCTGCTCAACTCGAAGAAACCAGAAGTGTGGTCACACTTGTCTGACCTATCAGGTGAAAACAGAAGAAAAATAATTATAATAATAGATTGTTTATTAATTGTTTTTGTGGGGGTTTTTTTGTATTTTATTTTTCTTGTGTTTTTGCCTGTTATCCTTGCACAGACTAACACAGCTACCTCTTCTAAAACTGCTGTCTGATCTAGTTGCTGCAAAACTCCCAGGTCAATCTTTAGGCAAGGCTTTTGTGATGTATTCTTAGCTTTAACCAGCTCACATCTTGTGACTTTTGCAGCTGACTCAGTGGTTTACTCACTTTATGTTTGTGTGTTGTGATGTGTGAAAATAGATGTGATGCGAGAAAAATGCAGACATTTTCAAACATCCAGTTCTACGTTTTCACAGGAAATAATGTTTCACAGTATGCTTTTCTTCTTTTCTCCTTAGGGATGAAAGTAAAGTAGGAAAACTAGATAACCCCACACACTGCGAACTTCACTGCTGTAAGGATGGACCAGTAAGAAATGGCCATATTGGACTGCGACCACCTTCTATCCATCCTGAAAGACTGAAAGACTTTGGCGAGGAAGATTACCTAAATGGGGGAGTGAAGACTTGGGAAATGAAGTTAACTAGTCCTAATGAAGAACTCTTAAGAGACTCAGTCAGCCACCCAGACAGAATTAACCAATCAGCGTACAATAAATTTATTAGGTTTGAAGATATCAGTGCAGCAGCTTTCAAAATCCAGTGTGGAGTACAGAAAACACTTTGTACGGTATGATTATTTGTCCTTTCCCATTACTAGTTTGCAAGGTTTGCCAAGGCATTTGGGGAATCAGTAACTTCTGAGACACTCTTCTAATTTTAGTGGAGTAGTAGTTATTATGGAGACTTTGATTTTGCTTTACCCAAGGTATGGATTATTCCAGATAACTTCGATCAAGACCATTTATAAATCACGTTTGTTCAGACAGGCTGCCTGTCATTTAGAGTTTCTTATCTTGAGGAAGGTCAGGATAACAACTATCATTTCTGCCCCCCCCCAATGATACATTGGAGAGTGACAAAGCTATGTAGGCTATCTCTGCTGTCAGCCCTCTTCTGTTCCTGCCCACATAATCTGGCATGTAGGAGAAATGGCTCTGTGCATGCGGAGCGCCACAGAAAAGCTGGGTGCTTCGTTACACAAAAGGATGAGCAATCAATTTTTCTCTCTTGTGTGGAGGGACTCCTCATGCATCTATCCACTTTCTTTGGTGGGATGTGCAGCCACCGGGCATATTAGTAGGACTTGAGTGGCATACAACCTCTTTATGTCAGTCATGTATTTGAAAGCATTAGGGGCAGGGCTTTTCTGCAGCTTCAAAAGGCAAGACAAACACCAAAGAGTGGAAACTGCATGGAAGCGGATTCTAGCTAAATAAATACCAGAGCTTTGTAATAAAAGAGAGCTGCTTGACAGTGGGGCAGTTTGCCTCTCATGTTGATGGCCTCTCCGTCACTAAAAGTGTCTAGTGAAGTGTCCAGCATTTGGCAGTCAACAGGGACATTGAGGTTGCATTCTGCATGTTAGAGCCTACACTGAGCAAGGCACTGAACTAGATTAGGGATAGGAAGTTTTTGACTCCTGAACTTAAATCTGGAGCAGGACAGTGCCCCAGAGATTGCCCTGGCAGCTTGGATTAGGCTCTACAGGCCTGTGGACAGAAGAATCCTCACTGTTTTCTCTCATCATTGATTAGCGATAATGAGGGGGAATTCCCCGGCATGCCACCCTCCATCCTAGCTGCATACATGGAAGGCAGAGGAGAGACAAAGCCTGGCACTCAGCTACAACTGAAGAAACTCCAGATAGCACTTCATCTGGGTGTGTGATGATGTCAGGAAGCATGGTCTCTCCCCTGATGTCATCTTAGCTGTAAAAGGACTGGAGGGTGAATCTTCCCCCTAGGCCTTAAAAGATCCCACCATCATCCCACAACATGATCTCCAAAGTGCCTCAAAAGTGTGATTCTAACAGTCCCATGCATAGCTTGTCTCTGTGGCCATCGTGCTTTACTCTGAGAAGGTCTTTCTCGGGGCAAGACATGTAGGCTTTGGCAGTTCAACCTACCTGATTTCTGGAGCCCTGCCAAGCTGCTTTCCTGCTGCAGCCTTTGTCAAGGGCACAGAGGAGCAGGGCAAGTTGGGCACCCCAGAACTCCTGCCATAGTAAAAAAATTTAATTTAGAACAAATTTAAGTGTTTAGCATTCTGAACATTGAAAATCACAAACTGAAATGTAAACATGTTAACCAACTCACACATTAAACAGAATGAGGTGTTAAAATTCCACACTATATTTCACATTACAGTATGTGTGTGTGTGTGTGCATAAGAGAGAGAGAGAAAGAGAGATTTCAACAGTTTCTGTATATAGAATCACTGCTATTTTTTTCCCTGTCACATGCTCTAGTATTTTTATGTGCAGGAAGGTAGTGTTTCAATTTTAACATGACAATTGTGTTCAAAAATAAAGTATTTCCACCTGGAATAGCAGTATTCAGAATTCTGTTGCTTTATAGCCCTTTTGTTACTTCATGGTGTGGAAGCTTGCTGAAGTGCACCTCTTCCTGTCAAGGCCCCATGGGAGAAGCTTTGTTGAGCACTTGGATCAGAGACCAAAAATCTGACTCATGATTTTTTTTTCAGGCCAGTTATCAATTGTTTGTTTTCTTAGTGCCACTTTTCAGCAGAGATATGTAGACTTGGCTGGGTAATATGTCATACTACCCTTATGCACAGGAGGAAGCCTACTTGTAGTGGCAAACTGATGAATAATTGAGATGTCTAATTCAGTACCATTAACTATCACTTGTTTTCCTTTCTACCATGGCATTTTCACAGAGATATATGCCTCGGAATCTGACATGAAAAAGCCTTATTTATTTTGTGATGGAATAGAACAGAACAAAACAAAACAAGATATGTTAGTGAGGAAAATCACATGATGACAAACAGAGGGCTTTCACCAATTCAGGGAGCACCTCTTCTAGAAATGTGCAAAATGTATCATCTAGTATGATCCCTAGATAAAATGTTTAGATGGGACCTCATCTACACCTTTGGAAAAAGTGGATAGAAGCACTACCATATGGGGGTGATGAATCTGGCCCTTCAGAAGATGTTTGGAACATAGTTCTCATGGTGGTTGAGGTTGATAGATATTGGAGTCAAATAACCTGAAAGGTTGCAGCTTCCCTACTGCAGCCTTGTGGCTCATTTGCTGGGCAATATATATTGTAATGCAAGAGACAAAATCAAGAAATGTCAGAATTTTCTCAACTCCCTGGGAGACTGGAACAGTTGTAGGGGGGAAGAAATAAAGAAGTGACATATATCTGTTGCTTGTAACAGAGGAGAACAGGAAATATGACCAGTGTTACCTACCACTTGCAGTGGAGACAGAGGGTCAAACTTCATGATTGCTTAGCATGTTTTTAGAAGTTTCTTCTGCTGGTGAAAGAAGTTTGTCATAGCCCATGATTTTCCTTTAGTACATATCTTGCACTTACATGCTTTGGGCTTAGTCCTTTATTGGAGAGCTAAGACATTTTCAATTTGTAAGTGTGATTGCCAAACATCTCTGAGGAAATCTTGTTGAGGTAAGGAAAATGATCAGAGGAAATATACGTTCCCTTTAATGTCCAGCTTGACTTAAGGCCTAGATGAGCTAGATATTTTATTCATTTTGGATTTAAACATTTTGCATATGGCTGATACATTCAGGTTTGACTGTGCCTGTTTTATATTTAGTAAATGAGAATAGAGATGTACAAACTAGATGTATGGCTGGTAAGGGGCTTTTAAGATTTTCCAAATACTTTTTTGAGTATCGTCATCATAGAACTGCAGAGCTGGAAGGAACCCTATGGATAATTGAATCCAGTCAAGGAGGCACAGTGGGGAATCGAACTCCCAACATCTGGCTCAGTAGCAAAGTGCCTAAACCACTGAGCTATCCAACAGTTCCTAGATAACTATTTAAGATCTGAGTCAAATAAGCAATAATGTGACTTATTCTTATTTCATTATATTCAAGACCTTGGTTGGTTAATGGGTTGACTATCAAGTAAATACCTAATAAGGCAATAAAGAAAGCCAGACACGTTGAGTTCATTTTTTTTGTGGTATGCCAGAGCATAATATACATCTCATTTTGTATTCTTTCTTTGCTCTGTCTGGGATATATTTCAAACAAATGTTAAATCTTTGGGAATTCAGTGGATTCCAGAAAATATCTGGCACCACCCCAGTAGTCTGACACAAGCACAGTTCAGTTTCAATTCTTGTTTTAGTATTAGCTAAGACACATTAAGGTATGGAACTTTGAACATCTCAGAAAAAGATACAAACAAATATTTAGGGAATTGCTGTTGCATGTAAACTCCGATCCTAGTCAATTCAGATTTGAGCATCCTTAAGCTTTTTATTGGAACTCTAACTCTGCTGGATTGTGGCCTGTGAATTTGGGAATACATATTTGATGAGCTAAAGCAGTGATAATATTATTGAAGTAAAAAATGATTCGAAACCGCATGTTCTGTGAGATCTGCTACCAGCCAACTCTGTTCAAACCACATATTTGATATTCTATCATCAGACAATCTTCTATTCTAGTCTTAGCTGTGTCTGTCTTTCAGATTGGCATTATACTTCCTGTGATAAGGATTGCTATTGATGATGCTAAATATTAGATTGTACTCCAAGATCTGTGTGACAGTCAGTATTTATTTATTTATTTATTTATTTTAATTATATCCCGCCTATCTGGTTGGTTAAGACCACTCTAGGCGGCTAGTATGACATAGTGATTAGATGGTTGGGCTGAGGTTTGAGAGTTTTGGGTTCTAATCCCCATTAAGTGTTCTTGGGCTAGTCACTCTCTCTCAGCCTCAGAGCGGGAGAGGAAGAGAGCCATATATGCCTTACATGGTAAGGAAACTGGAGTATAGATGGAACAAATAAATACATACTTCAGAGAGAAATTGCAGACCTTTGTACTGGCCGCAGAATTCAAGAGTTTGAGATGTACAGAATCTCAACTTCAAAACAAACAGTTCAGAATACTATGCTGTATGTTTTATGGCTTCAATGATGAAGGTCTGTGTACTAAAATTCTGAAAATTAAGATAGGGATTCTCTGGACTGCATGTAAACTCCGATCCTAGTCAATTCAGATTTGAGCATCCTTAAGCTTTTTATTGGAACTCTAACTCTGCTGGATTGTGGCCTGTGAATTTGGGAATACATATTTGATGAGCTAAAGCAGTGATAATATTATTGAAGTAAAAAATGATTCGAAACCGCATGTTCTGTGAGATCTGCTACCAGCCAACTCTGTTCAAACCACATATTTGATATTCTATCATCAGACAATCTTCTATTCTAGTCTTAGCTGTGTCTGTCTTTCAGATTGGCATTATACTTCCTGTGATAAGGATTGCTATTGATGATGCTAAATATTAGATTGTACTCCAAGATCTGTGTGACAGTCAGTATTTATTTATTTATTTATTTATTTTAATTATATCCCGCCTATCTGGTTGGTTACGACCACTTTAGGCGGCTAGTATGACATAGTGATTAGATGGTTGGGCTGAGGTTTGAGAGTTTTGGGTTCTAATCCCCATTAAGTGTTCTTGGGCTAGTCACTCTCTCTCAGCCTCAGAGCGGGAGAGGAAGAGAGCCATATATGCCTTACATGGTAAGGAAACTGGAGTATAGATGGAACAAATAAATACATACTTCAGAGAGAAATTGCAGACCTTTGTACTGGCCGCAGAATTCAAGAGTTTGAGATGTACAGAATCTCAACTTCAAAACAAACAGTTCAGAATACTATGCTGTATGTTTTATGGCTTCAATGATGAAGGTCTGTGTACTAAAATTCTGAAAATTAAGATAGGGATTCTCTGGACTCCTTATATTCCTCTGAATCATTAGTGAAATATATTTTGCAAAAAGGTAGCAGCCCTAATGGAAAGTAGCCTAATACTATACTGAGTGTAGTATCTTGTATTGAGATATTTGGGATTTATATCTGGGATTCCAACTCTATCAAAAAAAATAATAACCTTGCTGTCTGTGATCTAGGTTGTAATGTCAGTTGGGCACAGAGACAGCCGTGTGGAGCCAGAGTGCAAAGACTATAAAATTTTATTATTCAATGTGTTGTTATAATGGTATGCACCTATATCATAATGATATTGTTTCCACATATATCATAGTAAGTAATAATAATACAGATTGTAGGACACATTACATTTATGGGTTGCATCGACAAGAAATTGAGTATATAAGAAATAGAAATGGATGAGTAGCGAAACGTTTCAGCTTAAGAAAGGAGTTCAATTGCTATGACTCAACTTCCAGATAAGAAATAGAAACATACATTTTCTAGCATCCAATTCATATACATGCTTCTAGCCTCACAAACAAGATGGCAGCAGGCAGATCCAGATTAATCTGTTTCGTGACTTTCATGGCCATGTGTCTCCTCTAAACTATTGTCATACATCTTTCATATGTGTCTGTGTAAAATGGATGACATCCAGTGTCCAGTATTTCCAGTTCAAACGCTATCTGACAGCAGGTCTCCTCTTAGATGTGTCTGGAGAACAGCTGTCAAGCACAGTATTTTAATTTTTATAGTTAACACAAACTCTTAATTTATGTTCATTGAATGGAAGTATGGACTAGTTTAAATTTTGCTAAACTTCAAGGTAAAACAATGTCAGTTGGAGAATGTAGGGGGAAACAGTTTTATAAAATAACCCAGGTCAGGAATATAATCATTCTCCTGGTTTCCTAGAGACGGTAAAAATCTGTGGAAAATCTGTGGATGTTAAAAGTGCTTTGGATACTTGAGGACTTGGCTGGATCTGCATTTGGAAGCAAACCACCCTCTTTGCATCTCCAAGCCTGAAAGTTGTCTCAGAATATAATTTGTATTAGGTAATTGCATTTCTCTGAATGATGCAGTACAGTTCCAAAATACTAAAATATTACAAAATGTATGTTTTCACTGAAACACTATCTAGAAGCTTGTATTTTAAGGTAAAAGATGTACAGAATTGCATATATTTGCAAAAAAAAATATGTACAAATATATGCAATGCAAATGTTTCTATGATTTGAAAAAGGCGTAACATATTTATGAATGAATATACGTAAAATGTACAGCTTTTCAAAGTTAACTGATGGATGTCCCATTGTTCCCAGTATTCTAGGCTTTCAAAGCAGTATGGGATGGACCTATATCTAAAGAAAGAGTTCCTCCAGTACACAGGAACTGTGAAGGAGCGGGGTGTGCTTTACCTGCTGATGTCTTTGCAACAGGTAGGGAAACCAGTGGAGCAAAATTTCAGAGCGAAACAGCTGTTCACTACATTGCTTAATAAAGTAAAGGTAAAGGTATTTTGACCAGAGAATCCTTCCCTCTCAAAAATAATTTTTCCCTTTACTCTGAATCTTTATACTAAATTGCCCAAGCTGAGAACAATTTATTCAAATCTCTCAGAGCTTGGAGAAATCAAGTCTTTGAACTATACCTCTCATAGTTCCTCAGCCAGCATTGTGATGACTGTTACAGTTCAAAAAAGTAATTTTTCTAAGCTCTAAAATCTTCTGTGAAGAATTGATTGAGGATTTCCACATGTAAGCCCTCCTTGCTCTCTACCACTGCATCGTCCTTCCAGTTCCTGAGTCTTGACCTTTTCATGTTTCAGCTTCTTTTCTTAGACAGAAAGGAGGGTCTGTTGTGCTTTTAATAAGAGACCGAAAGAAGTTTCAACTGGTGATTTTTTTTCTGTTATGGAAAACCTAAAAGCTTCACCTTTTGCCCCTCTAAATCTGGCTGCTGTTGGCAATACAGTAGGTCCACAGAAAAAATGTCTTCATCTTCCATTGGCTGCATCCCATTCATTTTCTTGCTGGCTCCTTTTCCTAATGCTGAGCTGAAATGTGTTTGATTTACTGACTTGATGTTGGGGACCTTAAAGGGATGTTTTAGCAGTACTGACAGACATTGAGATTACTTAAAAAATTCTGATAGGCGCTGGACTGTTTCCAGTTGGATCACATCCAAACACAAAACTCTAATTTCTCTTGCTTCAGCAAGTCACATTCTAAATACTGCTCTTCGTAGTTTCAGATTGTGTTAATGATTATGTTAGTGTATAAAATAGCTGATTTCTCTGGCATCACACTGAGTACTTCATTAATAATTGTGAGCCACCAAGTTAATTTCAATATATGATTACCCTTTCCAGGGTTTTCTAGGTAGAGAATGCATAGAAGTGATTTACCATTCTCTTCGTCTGAGGGTCCTGGATCTGTGCAGCTTGACCAAGGCCACGCAGGCTGGCTCTACCCCTGGCTTTGCAGACAGATACCTAAGCTACTGAGCCATCAAGCACTATATGTCTCTCTCTGTAAAAGATTATATACTGTAGATATCAGTGTAGATATGCTTATGGAGAACAGAGATCTGATTCTGTACATAGTTGTGATAAATTGGCAGTAAACCACACTGTCATGGGCCCAATCAATCAGGATGTGATGATCCTGTAAAGTCATCTGTAAATTTCATTGTTTCAAATAGGCCTAATCTGTGATGTACTTTAACACAATGAATTGCAGTTAGAATAGGCCAATTTGGATCAAGGAAACCTATGGAGGAATTAACTCACTAAATCCACATTGATTCAATGTGCCTGTGGTAATGCAATTTATTATTCTGTGCAACAACATTTTGGCCAGTGTATTTTAGGGCTGTGATATTTCCTACAGATATTTTTGGGCAAAGTTTGCATATATAATCACTAAAAATTACATCTGTATGCATATGTGTTCCATTTGGGATCTTTCTTTCCTTTTCTCTTGTGCTTTGGATGTTTCATCATCTGTCCAGATTTTATAATCCTTAATGGGAGTCAGCAACTGACGGCCAAATCTGGTCTCTCAGGAGTACATTCTGCCTCACAGTTGTCAACCCAGCAGCAAGAAAGGGTCACTATCTGTGGCAACAGATTTGCCTCTGGTCCTGTTTAAGAGGTCGTCTGCCTCTCCCCCTTTCCAGTTTGCCTTCCAAGTGGCTGTCTAATAAAAGTAATTGTTGACCAGTGCCCTTTGTTGTGGTGTTTCATGTTCTGCAGGAACAGCAAAGAAAAGGTGTGATTGTTGCGTCAGACAGCAACTTTTCCATGGCAGTAGCGTATCATTCCGCACAGAAACAAATCCCCGTGTTTGTCATCATGCCCACCAGCACTTTGCCAACCCGAATTAAAATGTGCCGTGAGTATGGTGCCATGGTAATTTCTTATGGATCTACAGCAAGAGATTCCCAACTGCATGCCAGGAGGCTAGCACAAGAAAATGGCTACTTGTATCTTGAAGAGTAAGTGGAGATTTTCCAAATATGAGTCCATAATAATCTGAAGCCTTTTAATGTTTTCCAGACCTAAACAAACAGGAGCCTCAAGCAGAAGAGGGGGTCTTACTTTTAGCAGTGGTTTTAATACGTTTGTTCTCCCCCCAACCAAAGAAAAGTGCTTGGTTTTTTTGTATTGCCACTGCAAGTGGCAGAGACAGCAGGCATGTTGCCAAATAGTGTCCTGTTATTTCTAGGGAGAAAAGAAAAAAAAAGAAACTTTTAAGAATGTGTCTCAGAATCATGGGGGACGTGGTGGCGTTGCGAGCTAAACCCGCAGAAGCCTGTGCTGCAGGGTCAGAAGACCAAGCAGTCGTAAGATCGAATCCACGCGACGGAGTGAGCTCCCATTGCTTTGTCCCAGCTCCCGCCAACCTAGTGGTTTGAAAGCGTGCAAATGCAAGTAGATAAATAGGGACCCCCTCGGTGGGAACGTAACAGCGTTCCGTGTCTAAGTCGCACTGGCCATGTGACCACGGAAGATTGTCTTCGGACAAAACGCTGGCTCTGTGGCTTGGAAACGGGGATGAGCACCGCCCCCTAGAGTCGAACACGACTGGACAAAAATTGTCAAGGGGAACCTTTACCTTTACCTTTTACCTCAGAATCATCTTGTCTAAGAAATGTTGGCTCAACACTTGTTGTCGTTCTTCATTGTTCTGCATCTTCCTTGTGGCTTCACATAGTGTACTACATTTCTTTTTCAAATTGAATGAGAATGGTTGGAATTTTCATGAGATTCCTTTTTCTTTTCTTTTCTTCCTTCCTTGTGGCCCAGCACTCCATCCAAATCAATGCTCCAGCTCAGTAGTTCCCGATCTTAGGTAACCTGGGTTATCTTGGACTGCAGCTCCCAGAAACCCTGATCAGTACAGTTGGTAGTGCAGCCCGTCAGTGGAGATGGAGAAATGATAACAAAAGTCAAAAAAAAGGCAGAAGTGCTCAATTCCTATTTTAGTTCAGTCTTTTCCCAAAGGACAGACTATGACCCTCCAGACAATTGTGAAGTGTAGGTGGAGGGGACAAGATTGCAACTGGAGATCTATAAACAAATAATCAAGGAATACCTTACTACCTTGAACAAATTCAAATATCCATAGCTGGATGAATTGTATCCAAGAGTATTGAAGGAACTGTCTGAAGAACTCTCAGAACCACTTTCCATTATTTTCTTGAAATCATGGGAAATGGGTGAGGTGCCAGATGATTGAAGGAGAGCTAATGTTGTCCCTATCTTCAAAAAGGGCAAAAAATGAGGCATCTGGGAACTACAGACTGGTCAGCCTGACATAAATCCAAGGGAAAGTTCTGGAACATATCATAAAGTGGTCACTATCCGAGCACTTAGAGAACAATTTAATAACTAGAAGCCAAAATGGATTTCTCAAGAACAAGTCCTGCAAGATTAACCTGATCTCATTTTTTTGATCAGGTAACCCTCCCTGATAGATAGAGGGAACACTGTAGATATAGTATATCTTGGCTTCAGCAAGGTTTTTGACAAAGTGCCCCATGATATTCTGATTAGCAAATTACCTTGATGTGGGCTGGATAGAACAACTGTCAGGTAGATACGCTGTTGGCTACAGAATCATGCTCCGAGGGTGATGATTAATGGCTCCTTCTCAAAGTGGGTAGAGGTAATGTGGGGTACCCCAGGGCTCAGTCCTGGGCCCTGAGCTTTTCAACAGTTATATTAATGACCTGGATCAGAAGATACAGGGAATGCTAATCAAATGTACAAATGGTACAGTATTCAGAGGGTGATAGTTAATGGCTCCTTTTCCAACTGGGAAGAGGTAACAAGTGGGGTACCCCAAGGCTCAGTCCTGGGTCTGGTGCTCTTCAACATTTTTGTTAATGACTTGAATGAGGGAGTGCAGGGAATGCTTGTCAAATTTGCAGATGACAGAAAATTGAGTGGAATAGCTAATACTGTGGAAGACAGAAACAAAATTCAAAACAATCTTTATAGGTTGGAGCACTGGGCTGAAAACAACAGAATGAAATTCAACGGGTAAATGCAATGTAACCAATCAGTGCAAAGAAACCAAATGCAGTTGCAAGATGGGGGAATACCTCGCTCAGCAATACTACAATCAAGAAGGATCTTGGAATTGTCATAGATCACAGGCTAAATATGAGCCAACAGTGTGATGTGGCTACAAAAAAGGCAAATGCCATTTTGGGCTGCATTAACAGAAGTATAGTTTCCAAATCCTGCAAGGTGCTAGTTCCTCTCTATTCAGCACTGCTTAGGCCTCACCTTGAGCATTGTGTCCACTTCTGGACAACACACTTCAAGAAGGTTGCTGACAAATTGGAACAAATTCAGAGAAGGTCAAGAAGGATGGTTAGGGAGTTGGAAACCAAAGACTGAAAAATCTGAGCATGTTTAGTCTTTTCAAATACTTGAAAATACTCCTCTGTCATACAGAGGAAGGGCAGGATCTGTTTTCTATCATCCCCGAGTGCAGGACAAACAACAATGGGCTCAATTTACAGGAAGCCAGATTTTGGTTTAATATCAGGAATAACTTCCTAACTGTTAGAGCACTACAGCAATGGAATCAATTACCTCGAGAGGTGGTGAGTGCTCCAACACTGGAGGTGTTAAAGAGAAATTTAGACAACACCTGGCAGATACTCTTTGATTTGTATTCCTACACTGAGCAGGGGGGTTGGACTTGATGGGCTTATTGGCCCCTCCCAACTTCCTGATTCTATGATTCTATACCCAAGATTGGGAATCACTGCGTTTAGTTGATCAATTTTTCTTGTTTCTCAAACATTTCATCTCTAACTATGTTGAAAGACTTCAAAGATAATTTCTATGCTGAAATAATTCCTATCATAGGAACATGATTCCGTTGTCAAACAGACATTCTTAAACAAGGGATTATACCACAGGAAATATGGGAAATATAATAATGGGAGAAAAATACAGCAAAACAAAATCTACAGTAAAAATTTGTCCTTGTATTAAACAGCTGCCACCACTTTGTAAACTGGCTTGGCAACTAACATTTCTTACTAGAGCTACTAGCCTAGTTAACCAGAAAGAATGGTTCAAGTCATCTTGCAATGGAGAAAAATAATGGTGATTATTTCTTCCCCCCACACACACACACATTGCAGGATGCTTTTTGCACGAGCGCATTACTGCAAAAAGCTGTCAAATCTGTTATGAGCCTTGCTGTAGGTGATGGTAGTAGACAAATGACAAGCCACTAGTACCAGGTGACTGAAGAATAGTCCTCTCTGGATGGGAATGTGAGTTATGTGAATCCAGGTCAATAGGCTTCGCCAGTAGGATAAATCAGCTCTTAAGCACAACCTTTGTAAGAAAGACATCTTTATGTTTGGAGTGCAGTTAAGAGGAAACACAGAATGGGAGTGAGTTCCATGAAGGGGCCAAACTCTGGGGGTGCCGATGCTATCTCATGTGAGAGTTTGACTTAGGCTCAACAATACTTTGTGTTTCTACATATCACCTCCCTAACACCAAAAGACCACAGATGTCTGTCTAAGAACAGGGTTTAGTGATGTGCCAATCCTCTTATTCCTTATTTCCAAGTATAAAAAGGGATTTTCATTTTGTTTGTGTGAAGAAAAGAATAAAATATTCATTTTATATATTCCAAGTGGAATATATAACTTACGTATTGGCCACAATAAGAGTTACAGTATCTTGTTGAGATGCTTTGGAATTGGAATAAAATATTTCTTCCTGCCAGCCATGAACCCTAAATGAAAAACATCCTAGATATTTATTTGGATTATCCATTTGATGCAGCAAATGGAATAAAGAGTTTCAAAATACTGTTTTGTATTATCCTTTCCATCATCCTTCAAGTTCATTCTCCAAAGAAAAAGTAACTTTCTCTAAATAGCTTCCCCCCCCCAATTTTCTAACTATGATAGATTTTAAACCTTGTTGCCTTCTGTTTACCCATAATCTGTTCACTGAAACAGTTTGACCAATTAAGATTTAGGTCACTTGAAATCCTTCTTGTTAGCCTTCAGGGAGGTATTCCAAGTTGAAGGTCAAGGTATCAAGCTTTGGCTCTGGATGATGGAAAGACTTAGGCAGTGTTGATCTGCTTTAAGTTTGCACAACAGGCTGAAATGGAAAGCCACAATTTCCTGTAAATTCCTCGCTCTTATGCACGATAGATTGGTTTTGCCCTCATGTGGAAGAAGAAGTAAATTTGGAACAAGATCGTTTCTATTGCTTGCATTATTAATGAGAGGAGAAAGCCAAAGACGGAGAGAGTGCCAAGGGGAACAGCCAAAGAAATCTGGGTTTCCTGCTAGTTTCTGAGCCATGTACTCATTGAACTGATTTGTCAAAAATCTGGATAACCCCCAAACTATCCTGACAGGTCCCTGAGAGACAATGGCCATATTTATGCCATAAACTTAAACTGACTTAATAATGATTTCCTTTCCCCAGGAAATCCTGAGAAAGAGTCAAGAGAGTTCCAGCACACAAGTCTCAGCTACCTCGTCAAACTAGAATGCAGAGGTTTTTTTTTTTTTTTGGTTGCAGGGAAACATGATAGTCAAACTGAAGTGGAACTAATATCTAGTCCGGAATACAGTTGTGCTCTTTTTTTCAAATCCTTTTGTTAGTTCAGGTGATTTGCTACCAATGCGTTTTGAACTGTCGATTTCTTGTTGCACACGTTAAATACAAGTCATGTGACTAGAGAGTATTTTCAGGCATGAAGTACCAGCAGAAGGATTAGCCATGGAAAGAGAGTACCACCATCAGCAGTAAGAATTGTATTGAGTTTTCTTATTATTTGTGTTCCCAGAATGTCCTGAGAAGAGACGGGACCACAGGACTTAATTTTTGAATAGAGTTGCAAATGGTTAAATGTTTTTCCAGGCATATTTTGGGGTGGTCAGTGTTTCATCATTTGAACAAAACATTTAAAAAAGTAATGCAGATGTCTGTCTAGAACAAGGATCTCCAAACTTTTGAGCGTGAGGGCCACATCATATATTTTCCACATTTTTGAGCGACAAAGGAACATGTGGATGTGCGCACCTGCTCACCCACATCCCGCCTGCCTGGATGTCCAGATGCCTGCCTGCACACACACACGAATCCCTGGATGCTCGCCCCTGCGCGTGCACACACGCACGGGCTGGATGCTCGCCCCTGCGCGTGCACACACACACACGGACTGAAGGGAATAGGATGGATAAAATGGCAAGGCGGGCCAGATGTAGTCCACGGGCCATAGTTTGGAGACCCCTGATCTAGAACTAGAAGCCATGAAATCAACTCTCTCCATAAAGGCTGTAAGAAGTTACTGGGTCCATGGGCCATAGTTTGGAGACCCCTGACCTAGAACTAGAAGCCATGAAATATTCAACTGTCTCCATAAAGGCTGTAAAGTTACTACTGTGTTGTTTCTTTTTCTAGGAAGAAGTCATCTAGATAGTATTCCTTGTTCATGAACAAAACTTTTCTTTCTGCTTTTTTTTGCAGAGAAGACAGTGCTGTCTATCTGTCAGGGTTGGGGACCATGGGCCTGGAAATCTACGAACAAGTGCCAAAATTGGATGCAGTGATATTCCCAGCAGGGCCCCACTGTGGATTGCTAGCGGGCTCAGCTGCTGCACTGAAACATTTAAACGCACACATTTCTGTGATTGTAAGCATTCATGGTACAATTTCTACTCCGATGTGTGTATTCTGTAATTATTGTAATTATTGCATATTCTTCCATCTTAGCAGAATTCAATGAATTTGCTGAAGGAATGAACTAAATAGAAAGATAATGGACTTTAATAAATTTAATAGAAAACGAAAGCCACACAGCTTCCTGATATATGATATCAAGAGACCAAGAACTTGAACTTAGTCTGTTGTGTCGCTGATCAAATCATATCACCAAATCCAGAGTTTGGAATATTAGTATTAAAAGCCTAATTTGTTAAGATTTTACTTACAGCCCAAATGACCATGTTGACCCTATAGTTTTCTATCCTGGAAAGCTCCCTTAGCAATGTAGAATGTTGACCTTCCAGGGTTCCATGTTGGGCAATGGACCTCCACAAACAGAAATTCTCCCTGAACATGAGGATTCAGAGAGGGGGATGGAGGCAGAACTCCTATATTCAATCTTGACTTCAACCCATTCATGTTCAGTGAGCAGTTTAAAAGAATGCTTGAACATGCCTTATTAATGGAGACAGAAAGGAACCAGAACTTGATATGCACCCAGATTATCTGTAAGATTCCCAATGTTCCACTTGATGTGCATGCAGGAGCACATGCTCATTCACCAGTTTTCTTACATGGATCAGTATGGAGTCACATTAAAAAAATACAAATAAAGAAATAAAACCATTTTCTCCTGCAATCAAACCATGCCTCACTTTCCATCAGTGCTAAGCCTGACAACTTGACAAATTTAAAACAAAGGGTGTTTGATTTCAGAGGCCTGAGTAGTGTTTAAACCTCTCTGTTATTTTGTTTTACATACTACAGTATTTCTTTGCCTGCCAAAAGAATTTCCTTCCAATTTATGGATTAAAAACACTAACAACATCACCGTAGACCTACATTAACCAATAAAATAGTTAAAAGAAGTCCAAAACACACAATTAAGTCAGTAGGTTTTGAAAGTACTAATTTTAGCTGGATTATAGACTAGATTTCTGAGGGTAAAGGATCAGATTTTAAAATAATTCAGTGAGAGCATGAGTTGGACATAGCTAGTTGGCACAGAAGTTGGGCAGTGATCCGATCTGGGAGATGACAAAGAGCTGAGGGTGTACAGATCCCTTTGTCCTCCTCCACTACTTACCCGTCTAAAGTCGTGCCTGCCAGTGTGACCCACAAAGGCTTCATATGTTGCCCAGTGCAGAGAAAATCAGTAGTAGCATGAGTGAGGTGACAGCCAGGTTTCTGATGCAATGAGAATACCACAACATAACTGTTCAGGTTCTGGAGAAATTTATGAAGGTAATTTGATTTGTGGCGATCAGGCATAAGAGCCAAATGTATTCAGATCTTTGAAAGAAGAAATAGTGTTGGAACTGCTCTGTTTTGAGTTACTTATTTTAGGGAGGAGGATGTTGATGAACCCTTGATCGGAGCTGGCAGGATTCTACTTATGTATCGTGTTGCGTCCTTACTTGTCGCTTGTCACTTGCCATGCTGGATAGCCTTGGGTCTGTGAAATTGTTAGTGTCAGGAAACCCAAACTACACAACTACTGATTTATCTATTATTTGAATGGGAAAGGGGAGGGATTTGTGTGCTGCTCCATATTCAAAAGATAAATTCCAGTTCATGAGAGAAACTTTGTATCTTGGAGAGCTTTTTACAGTACTGTATTTACGAGAGGCATCCAAGTATTTCATCCCCTCCTTCACTTTGCTGGCTAAATTGCTACAATCCAGTGGTACAAATCATGTAAATTATAGCTAAGTTCTGGTTCAAGGTTGAAAGATGTAAAGGTGAAGAACAATTTAGTTATCAACAAGGTTATAGTTTTGATATCTATTATGGGGAGGGGCAGTAGTTTCCCCAAGAATGAACTTTATGCATCCATTTTGATTCATCTGTGGATTGCTAAATGTAGAAAGTCATTTAAAGTAGGATTTACACTGTTGAAGATACCAATTTTAGATGCCTGTAGATAAATTCTTGGAGATGAAGCAGCAAATATGATGGTTAAAATCCTACTCTCAAATGAAAAAAAAGGCTGCTCATCTACTGCCCCAAAGCACTTAAAGCACTCTCTGGGTGGTTGACAATTGAATTATCCATATCTCCATATCTCCCCGCCCCTGCAAGCTGAGTACTCAGATTTTACTGACCTTTGAAGGATGGAAAGCTGAGTGAACCTCGGGCTGGCTACCTGGACTTGAGCCTGGGTTGTGAGTAGAGTTAGGGCTGCAGTATTGCAGCTTAACCATTGTGCTATGAGGCTCTAGTTGACATTGTGACATTACAATGTGTCACATTAGAGATGTGTTGGGAGATATTGAAGCTTCAACCTACTAACCCAACTGAAACATTGAACTTTCTTATTCTTCAGATTGATGAATTAAAAGATAATCTGCACAATACAGTTTAAACACAGTTTGTTCAGTATCTCAGTGAGAAGAAAGTGCTTGAGTATTTATCTGTTCGTGGTTGATAATTCACCTACACAAATAGGAAATACAGAGGTAGTTACGTATTATTGATGAATATTTCTCAAAGGAAGAACCAGACTGGAAAACATTAGTTATTGTACTGTTGCTGCCATAAACACAGTTTGTTCAGTATCTCAGTGAGAAGAAATTGCTTGAGTATTCATCTGTTCATGGTTGATAATTCACTTACACAAACAGGAAATACAGAGGTAGTTATGTATTATTGATGAATATTTCTCAAAGAAGAACTGGAAAACATTAGTCGTTGTACTGATATGTTGCTGCCATGTACTCTAGGGCTGCTGCAAAAATGTGCAACTTTGGATGTATTAATTTGCAAGTTATACTGTATGATCCATTCAGAAATACCTGAAAGCAGATTCTTTAACTGTCTGGTGTGTGTCTGATAGCAGAATAATTAGAAATCTTGCTAAAGCCAATGCACTAAATAGATAAATTTTCAGTGTAGTTTGTGAGGTAGGTGCAGACTGAAGTGAGATGACTGTTGCATGACAATATGCTATTTATACACTGAGCTGAGTGAATAAATTAAATAGTTTTTTGTTGAAGAGAAATCTAAGTTAGCAGGACTATTCAGTAACACTGAACAGATCCCAAAATCAATAGACATATTTGGGCCTCCCAAATGAATCCAAGTACAAGGTCAACGGATTTAATGTTTCCACTTTTCAGCTAACATAGAATCTTTAAGAATTACCGCATTTTTCGCTCCATAAGACGCACCTTTCCATAAGATGCACCAATATTTTAGGAGAAGAAAACAGGAACTCCCAAATGAATCCAAGTACAAGGTCAACTGATTTAATGTTTCCACTTTTCAGCTAACGTAGAATCTTTGAGAAATAAGTTTGTTATTTGAAAGGAAGGGGTTGATGGGTGGTATTTAATATTTTAATTGCTTTGTAAGTATAACAGAGAAAAGTAAATGTGACTAAGAATTGTCACATAATACATAATGAGAATTATTTCATGTTCTTGTCTTTTAAAAGTGGAGCTGGTTTCTTTTGTGGCAAGACTCACACTTCTTGATAGCATGATTGATCACATGCTATCAAGATAAGACAGGTTGAAAATCACTTTTTAGGAGCACTTTATCAGTTCTTCTTGAGTATTTATACATTTATACAGCACCTGATTGCCCATCTCTCTTCTTGAGTATTTAGTTTGCATCAATATACGCCTTTCCCATCACTATGGGAAGGCATATATTGATGCAAACTAAATACTCAAGAAGAGAGGTGAGCAATCAGGTGCTGTATAAATGTTTTTGTTTACAGTTCCCTTCAGTCTCATTTCCATGGCTAGTGGTTATTGGAGTTGCAAAGCAAAATAACTGGGTGCCAAGTTACCGAGTCCTGTCCTTTTATATGCCTCACAAGCCCTGCCAGAGTTGTGCAGAATTCTGAAGCAAGCATGCAGAGGTTGCTTGGCAAACTTGTTAATATTTCCTTGAGTACAGAAAATCTAAAAACCTGTGAAGCAATATAGCCATTTTTTTAAAAAAAATTGGAGATATAAAAGTAGAGATTAGATGAGCTAAAATGCTATAAACCATGATATGGGTTTGTCTCTTCTGCCTCAGGGTGTGGAATCTGAGGGTTTCCCTGTATTGCAGCAGTCATTGAAGTTTGGCTACGCTGTTGAAGAACGCAGCCGCAGCAACAGTCGATTTTATAAAGGTGAGAGACTGCGGCAGTAAATGAGGCCTGTGTCGTGGGGAAAAAGAGAGGCTAAGGTTCATGATCTTTCCCATTTAGACATTTTATATCTGTTATATCAATATGGTATTCTGCAAGTTTGCCCCAGCAAAAATATTTCCCTGTATATTTTCACAGTGCAAACAAAATCAAAAATAGAGTGACAACAGCATGTAAGAAATCACTGAAATGGTTGCCACAGTGTTATACCCTTTATCATTTCTTGGTTGAGGCAAATGCTGCCCAGTTAATTAAAAAAATAGGATTTATTTTTCAATGCCTCCATTTTTAATGAGAACTATTATATTAGGTTATGACGATTGTACAAATAGGGCTAAGATTATACAAAAATAGGATCTGGGGGTCTATAATATATCCAGAGTTAACTGCTACGGGACCTTAGAAACTTAAGGTAACATAACTTTTTTCTTCAACAAAAGGCCTGCTGGATAGATGAATTTAGAAAGCAACACCAGATACCCCCTTCCCTTAACTACCACAAGCTATGTATTATTTATTAAATGAGAATGATCCCTGTTCTCTGGTTGTGCATATTCCAGTGTGGTATTTAAGTTGTCCCTTCTTCACCTCAACAATTTCGTTGGGGCTTATCCACCTTAATGATTTTTTAATGAACTATGTAATTAAAATAATAATTTAAAAATGATAATAGAGGCAGTCCACAAGTGATACAACCTCACCAGTAGCAACTATTGTTTCAAGCCTTACAACTCATTAAAACGAGTTGGGGAAAGCCAGCTCTCAATATGTTTGACTCCTGAACAAATTGCAAATGGAAGGATTACTGTTCTTGGGCAGGCCTAGGGCATCATTTTCTGGGAGATGCGTTCATCATGAAGTGGAAAGGAACCCTATTTACTTTTCCCATCCTTTC